CCATGATGCATGGTCAAGGAGCTGTGTTGAGCTTGGTATGGCACAAATTGTGCTGGCCTGATAGACAGCACGTCAGCATCGATCATCTGAGATGCCATATGAGAGACTTGAAGACCGAAGCACTTCCTTGTATCGCTCCTCCTGTGATCCTGAGGGCAAAACATCCGGGTTGAACTAATTCATAGAAGTACTCAATTTTTGGTCGCAAAGACTTGGACAAAGTCATGTTGGCCTCATTTCACCCAGCCTCAGGCAGATCCTTAGATCAAGAATGTGCCAGAAGATTCTATCAGGAGAGCGGCTTTCTGCTCCAAGCAAGAGTCACTGCTGAAATCCTGATAACCTTCTTCTGAGGCTACGGAAACCCAGGTGGTTGAAAAAGCAAATTCTCAGAATTGATAGTTCAGGAAGTTTTCTGATGGTGTCAGCTTTCTGTTCCAAGTCCCCACTGAATCACACCGTTCACAGGTGCAGGAGGGAAACCAAGTTCATTATGGTACGGAAAAGGTATCTCCCCACCCAGGATTTGGTATTGTAATTTAAATGCTTCAGACTCTTGGTGTGAGTTCTAATAAAGAAACTGTTATTGAACCAATTCAGAACATTGGCCCATCTAGTTCACTGCACTAACTGGCAGAGGGTCCCCAGGGTTTTTCAGACAAGGGTCTTCTCTAGCCCTACTCTTGAGACTCCTAAGGACCTTTTTCATCCAAAGCTTGTGCTCTCATTCATGGCTATTCCTGAAGTTCAATTCCAGTGGATCGATCAGCTTAACAGGTTTGTGGACTGAGCAGAAAACCCTCCATATTGGAGGATCAAATGGATGTGTGAGAATTCACACTAGAAACTGCCCTTTTTATCTAGCAGTTGAGCACAACAATTCACAAACACTGGGCATCCTGTTCAGTTTAGGCAGAATCACACAGGATTTTCAAAGAGTCGGCCATGACGACCCTCCTCATCCTGCATGCATCCATAGTATCTAATGTCAGAACATCTGCAAAGGGGTCAAGCTGTGAGTAGCCAAAGAGAAAAGACATCAAGGGCCCTGCCTGTGAACCAGCTCCTGATTTTCATGCCTTTTGCATGTCTCTATTTTCTAGGGACATCCCTGATTTAGAGAGGCTGTCCCTGTTTCTGATTTGATCCCGGAATATCCCGCCTTTCCTTTGGTTGTCTCTATTTTCATTGGAGAAACGTTGGAGGGTATGGAGTTATCCAACCCCCGAGCCATCTGAAGGCAATCCTGTATAAGGAAGTTTTTTTAAATAAAAAAGTTCAATGTTTTATTATGTTTTCATATGTGTTGGAAGCTGCCCATAGTGGCTGGGGCAACCTAGTAAGATGTGTGGGGTATAACTAGTAAAATGATCATTATGGAATGGGACGTCCCTTTATCATCAGAGAAATGTTGGCGGGTATGCTTTTGTAGCTGGGGATAACTCAAATAATGATATATGGTCCAAAGCTAACCAGGAGTTAGCTTTTTAAAGAGCCAGTCTTGACGACCCTCCTCATCCTGCATGCATCCATAGTACCTAATGTACCTAATGTCAGAACATCTGACATTAGCAATTATAAAACGCCAATAAGGCCCCGAAATTGAATCAGAACACACTGTGGGGGGAAAGGGAGAAATGGGCTGGATTTAGTCCATATCAGAAAATGGTGGAGGCTTCCTAAGATGCAAAAGATGGTTTGTCTCGGGTTTGATTTTGCTAGGAAGGACTGGATTTTTGTTCGTCGCCAGGCTCACGTTTCTGAGAGAAGGAATTCCCCTGGCCTAAGGCTAGTCTCTCTCCACTCCACTCTCAGGAGATAAAGAAATTCCATTCCTTCTGGCTCTCCTTATGTTTACAGGCACGTTCTCTACGGAGTAGGAAACACCAGCATTCCTCTTCTCCCCCCATCGGCATAGCTCAGGACGGGTGACGCAACCTCTAAAGCAGATTTTCACAGCCACAGCAGGTTCAAAAAAGTCAAGGGGGGTGAGACCCCCTTCTAGACTGCCACACACACACACACACACACACACACACACACACACTACAGAAGACAAAGAATAGATGTGTGTGTGTGTATTGGTGCCAACAGGCTTCAGAGAACCTCAAGGTTTGCAGAAGTCCCTTTTTAAAAAAGGAGAATCCCCCAAACCATTCAGTGGGGACTGAACATGCCCAGTATGACACAGGGTTGATGGCTGATGGGGTGGAGCAATGAGGTGGAATGGGAAGGAGTATCATGGCTCAGTTGGTTAGAGCCCAGTGCTGATAATGCCAAGGTTGCAGGTTCAATCCCCATATGGGACAGTTGCATATTCCTGCATTGCAAGGGTTGGGCTAGATGATCCTCAGGGTCCCTTCCAATCCCAAAATTCTATGATTCTATTTGGGACCAAGGCACAGCATGCTGCAACATTTTGCCGCAGGCTCCACTAGTAGAAGCTAATGGCTATATAGACCATGTGTCACGGCAGGGAATGCCACAAGTCGGCCTTGGTCCCTTCCAGATGTTTTGGACTTTAGCTTTCATCAGCCCAGATCAGTGGCTGGGCTGGCTACAGAGCTTATAGGAGCTGTAGACTTGTGTTTGTGTGACCAGATTGTGAAAACTACCATTAGTTAAGTGGTGTAATAGAAGTATGCTATTTCTGACCCAAATGCCCATCAATCTTACGAGGTGGTCCTCCAGAAATCTTTTCTGAGTAAGAAGTTGAGGCCTTAATCTCCGTGTTCTTTGTTCAATGTCACTGACCTGAGTGACTTGAGGTTTCGGACAATAAGTGAATGTTTCCCCCTGGACTGTGTTGCTGGGGAAAGCCTTTATTTCCAGTTTATTAAATACTGTTACATAAGCCCAGTCCTTGTATATTTGGAAATAACAAGTTACCCTACCAGAAAAGATGTTCAGTCCTGTGCGTGCAGGCACTCCACACGGTAAACTTCGCTTTGGAACAGGCCTGTCTAGTTTTTGCGTCATTTTTATATGATGCAAGAGGGTACCTAATAAATTCCAATTCCTTATTAGGGCCTTGTGAATGAAGCCTTTGGACCATCCAGGCCAGATTCCATTTGTCAAGACTCGATACTTAAGTTTTTAATGGCTGTTTTAAATACCATTTGTGCTTCTTTGAATGCAGCATATGGCAGAACCTTTTGATATGTTCACTTTAGGATCATGGGTTTACCCAGTCTTGTATGTTGTTGCAAAGTATTAAAAGTGCCTAAGCAGCATCCCTCAAACATGGGGCATTATTCGCCACCCTCTGTGCGTCACTTTGATGGGCGGGATTGCATAGGAGAGGAAGAGCTAGACCGTCACTCTGATGACAGGTATAATAAGAAATAAATATGGGAAATGGCATGTTGCTTCACCTGATAAAAAGGGTTAGGGATATTAGCATGCTTTGACTATTGGCAACGTCTTTGTAAACTTAACACTATTAATCAGGAGCATAGCGGGGGCCAGGGGGACTGCAGCCCTGGGTGCACAATTTTGAGGGGGTGCAAATGAGGAACACGGGTGGCGCTGTGGGTTAAACCACTGAGCCTCTTGGGCTTGCCGATCTGAAGGTCGGCGGTTCAAATCCCCGCGACGGGGTGAGCTCCCGTTGCTCGGTCCCTGCTTCTGCCAACCTAGCAGTTCGAAAGCACGTCAAAGTGCAAGTAGATAAATAGGTACCACTCTGGCAGGAAGGTAAACGGCATTTCCGTGCGTTGCTCTGTTTCGCCAGAAGCGGCTTAGTCATGCTGGGCACATGATCCGGAAGCTGTACGCCGGCTCCCTCGGCCAATAAAGTGAGATGAGCGCCACAACCCCAGAGTTGTCCGCGACTGGACCTAATGGTCAGGGGTACCTTTACCTTTGTAAACCTAACTCTATTAATCAGGAGCATAACGGGGGCCAGGGGGACTGCAGCCCTGGGTGCACAAAGTGGGGGTGCAAATGAGGTGCCCCCGTGCCGGTGCCGGCTTCTGTGGGATTCCCTGTCCCACCCAGGTGTGTCCTGACTCTCCTTGCTCCCTGCCTGCTGCCGGGGGTCTCTGGGTCCCGGAGTCTGGCCTGGCCTCGCTGCCGCATCCCTGACCCTAGTACCACTTCCCTGACCCCAGCACTTGCTCGCTCTTGGCTTGACACGCTCCCCGGACAGTGAGTGAGCAGGGATGGAGGAAGACTGGCAAGGGGTGACCCCAGCACAGCCTGGCCTGGCCCTCCTCTCCGTGGGCCTCAGGGGGGGGATTTACCCACCAAGAGTCACGTCCGCCCACTGGGCTCCCCCCTGCATGGACAGGCATGTGGCACAGTGTGGTCTCGCTTGCCTCTGGTGGTGTTGGGTCGCTCCAGCAGTGTCAGTGGCTGGGTTGGTGCCACAGGCTCTGTTCACCCTCTGCATCCTGCCCCCTGTGCCTGAGTGGGTTTTTGTTGTTGTCGTTGTTGTTACCGCAAGCTTTCCCTGTGAAAACCCACTTTAAAAAACTGAATTGGAGCAAATGTCAGTTCAGATTGACGACTGCTCCGACAGAGCTTGAAAGAAAGAGCAGAGGAGGGAAAGCTCTGGAGCAAGAATAATAATAATAAAAGTGCTCGGACAGGGAGCCGAAAATTGCTGGCTGTGTCTGGAAAGATTGGAGGAAAGGTAGGTGTGGATAAGTGCTGAGAGTCAGGAAGGAAGTTGCTTCATAGGTCACCTGTTTGTCCATAGAGCTTGCCATTGTCTCGTCTAACTACAGCTCAGAGTTCTTTCCCTTTAACTGCTGCCACCTCATTCTTTTAAGTGGGGATTCCGGAGAATGAACTTGGGTCTTCCCACATGGAAGCCTGCACTCTGCTACTGCTCTGGCTTCCTGTCCCTGAGCTTAGAGTCCTGTTTTAAACTCTCTCCACCTGCTCAACACCTCCCCACCCACAGCGCAAGCTATATGGGTCACTACAGGGTATAGATTCAGGTAGGTAGCCGTGCTGGTCTGACGCAGTAGAAATATATATAAAAATAACAAAAAGGTCCAGTAGCACCTTAGAGACCAACTAAGTTTGTTCTTGCATGCACACAAAAGCTCATACCAAGAACAAACTTAGTTGGTCTCTAAGGTGCTACTAGACATTTTAAATTTTTAAAAATATATTTCTACTACAGGATAAAAGGGACATGGGTGATGCTATGGGTTAAACCACAGAGCCTAGGACTTGCCGATCAGAAGGTCGGCGGTTCGAATCCCCGCGATGGGGTGAGCTCCCATTGCTCGGTCCCAGCTCCTGCCAACCTAGCAGTTCGAAAGCACACCAGTACAAGTAGATAAATATGTACTGCTCCGGCAGGAAGGTAAACGGCGTTTCCGTGCGCAGCTCTGGTTCGCCAGAAGCGGCTTAGTCATGCTAGCCACATGACCCGGAAAAGCTGTACGCCGGCTCCCTTGGCCAATAAAGCGAGATGAGCACCGCAACCCCAAAGTCAGTCATGACTGGGTCAGGGGTCCCTTTACCTTTACTACAGGATATGTGCAGCTCCTTGCACATATCATACCTTTAAAGCACATTGAAAGCACACACCTTGCCACAAAGACTCACGGGAGCTGTAGTTTACCCTGTTTCCAAGTACTCTTAACAAACTACAGATCCCAGGATTCTTTGGGATGCGTGTGTATGAGCTTTTAATGTGTTTTAAAGAGGTATTGTGTGTTGGAGTTAGCCATGCTTCAAGGAGATGCACTGAAATAAATGGGACTGATGTGAAGCATCACTGTGCCCGGATCCAACCCTTTAAAAAAAGCATCTTCACTAAGGGCAAAATAGGGACAGTGATTTATTAGTGATCGGTTCCCAAAAGCAGGGGATGTCCTGTCAATGCTTCTCTGAGGACATTTCCAATGCCCTTGTTGGTGTGAGTGAAGCTTGGTTTCTTTCGCAGGTAAAGATACGGTGTGTGCTTCTCACCCTTACGCCACAATCAGTTACTGGACGGCACATTTTTAACAACTATTTGGCCTCAGGGATGTCTTTGGATGGAATGTCCCCATAGATCGAGCCTTCCATGAGCAAAGTGATGAATGGAAAGCTATAAAGAGGATTTGTCCGTCCATAAATATATTGTCTACCTTCAGGGCTATTGCATCAGTAACTGGAGAAGCAACTGTGTAAATTAGAAGAATGTTAAAAACGTGGTGCATTTCTGTGTAATCATGGAAAGAACACTTTATCGGAGAGCTGGTGACCTTTATCTCCTCACATTCCAGGCTCACACATATTTTCTCTCTCTCCAGCTTTTAAAGTCATTTTTTGGAAAGGAAGTCACCCCAAGTGCCTGGCTGGTTTGCCACTTCATTCAAGGTTCCTGGGACTCAAAAATGCATTCTGCTCCATTTTACAATAGTCTGGAATTTAACTGAGAAATCAATTATATCTGCTCACGCTTCAGCAGTGACTTCATCCTGAAGTTGATGAGGGACAAGAGAGAGACCCTCATACCTTTATGGTGGGAGTGTGGCAAGTTCACCAGGTTACTTTTATATGTTATTTCAACCGTTGAACCCAAACCCTGCTCTTGTTCTTCTGTCACTAAACACTTATCTAGACCCTCTTCCTAGACATAAGGACCCAACTGCCATGCTGTTTACAGCTGCTTGTTTAGAGATCGCCTCCCATTGGAAAGACTCCAAAGGTCCATCTTTGATGGGATGGCAAGGGAAAGTTTCAGGCTGTTTCCAAGGATCTGATACAGCGCAGAAGGGCTGCTAGAGGCCAAACTAAATGCAATCATTTTGACAGGGCATGGTCCCTGTATATCAGCTATGTAAATAGAAGTATCATTAACATTAGACCCCTGGCCACTCATGCTTAATAATAATAATAATAATAATAATAATAATAATAATAATATTTATACCCCGCCCATCTGGCTGGGTTTCCCCAGCGACTCTGGGTGGCTCCCAACAGAATATTAAAAGCACAATAAAACATCAAACCTTCCCTAAACAAGGCTGTCTTCAGATGTCTTCTCAAAGTCAGATACTTGTTTATTTCCTTGACATCTGATGGAAGGGAATTCCACAAGGCAGGCGCCACTACCGAGAAGGCCCTCTGCCTGGTTCCCTGTAACTTAGCTTCTTGCAGTGAGGGAACCGCCAGAAGGCCCTTGGCGCTGGACCTGAGTGTCTGGGCTGGACAATGGGGGTGGAGACTCTCCTTCAGGTATACTGGGCCGAGGCATTTTATGCTTTAAAGGTCAGCACCAACACTTTGAATTGTGCTCGGAAACGTACGGGAAGCCAATGTAGGTCTTTCAGGACCGGTGTTATGTGGTCTTGGCGGCTGATCCCAGTCACCAGCCTAGCTGACGCATTCTGGATTAGTTGTAGTTTCCGGGTCACCTTCAAAGGTAGCCCCACATAGAGTTCATTGCAGTAGTCCAAGTGGCTGTGTCATAGATGGTTGAAGCCCTGGTGATGCTTTCAGTGATTCAGTTATTTAACAATGCCTTTGCTCAATTTTTCTCCACAGGTTTTGTTGGCATTGATTTTTCTATCAAAAATTAACAAAATATTATAAGAAAATTCTTCCTGTTGCAGGAAGGACTTTGTTCTCAGGGTGGGGTGGGGGCTAAAAGTGTGACTGCTCTCTGTGCAACATGGGAAGAGGGTTTTGTGCAATTCCTTTCTGATACAGCAGGCTTAAGGACTAGATTGTAATTATTGCTGTCTTGCCTAATGAAGGGTTAACCCTCTTGATAGCAACTTTGGAGACACCCAGACACCCAGCAGTGGAAAATGTGAACTTCATGGTGGCTGGGAACACTTAGCAGGTCTCAACAGATTCACGCAGCAGACATGGTTATTCTGAATCAGAAATCTCCGTTTATTTATTTAAATCTTAATAAATATCTTTTTTGTGAACTATGTCAAAACAAACTACCAGATATCTTTAGCGGGTTCTTTAAACAAATAACATTCAACTCACTTAAAGAACCCCCTCCAGGTATTACACTAAGACATCTGTTTTCTTCAGCAACGTCAACTCCCATGGGAAATAAGTTCAAAGCAAGTAAAGGAACGGACAAAAAAAAAGGGTTTTCTGCCAAGGAATGAACTACAGCCAAATCCTACATACAGAGGTGAAAGTGGCCGGGGGGAGAACACATTGATGTAGATATATTTTTTATTTATTTAACAAAACGTATATGCCGCTTGACTTTAACAAAAAAAGCAACTTCCAAGTGCTTTACAACAAATGTTAAAATTACCAATCACACAGTTAAAAAACAAGTACCGTATTGGCCCGAATATAAGCCACACTTTCCCCCCAAATTCTGACCATGGAAAGTTAAAGTGCAGCTCATATTCACGACCTTATGGTAAGCAGCCAGGAGCAGCGAGGCTTATATTCGGGTATTTCCCTCCCCTTTTTTTCTTTTTTCATCTCCAATTTTAAAGGTGTGGCTTATATTCACGTGCGGCTTATATTCGGGCCAATACGGTAAATAAAATATTTTGAAGATACTTAAAATCCACAGATACATATACAGTGGTACCTTGGTTTACAACCACAATCCGTTCCAGGGGTCCATTTGTAAACCAAAACAGGTTGTAACCCAAGGCGGGCTTTCACCAATGGGGCCTCCAAATTTTTTTTGTCCGTAATCCAAAAAAATGGGTTGTAATCCCCAAAAAGGTTGCAAACCGGGACACACACTTCTGGGTTTGACGTGTTTGTAATCCAAAACGTATGCAAAGCAAGGTACCACTGTATGTATATCCTCTCTTTAATACTCACATGTTACCTGCATCAAAAGCTGCCTCCAGCCAATTCCATGGAGCCAGGAGGAGTGCAGGGAGTTCATAATTCAAATACATGTATAACTTCTGGTCCCCATTGACCACCTTGGCTGCAGCTGAAAACATGCATGGAAGACAAAGAACATATGAAACTACCACTTACTGAGAGACACACCACAGATGTGCTTATTTATTGGTTACATTCAGGGGTTTTCTTCACAGGAACTCAGTCTTGGCACCTCTCAGTTGGGCTCCGTTGCCATTCTGAGAGAACAAGGGAGATGTTCACGGTGAGTTCTGGCACCTCTTTTCCTGGAAAAATAGCACTGGTTATACAGTGGTGCCCTGCAAGACGAATGCCTCGCAAGACGGAAAACCCGCTAGACGAAAGGGTTTTCCGTTTTTCAATGCGCTTCGCAGGACGAATTTCCCTATGGGCTTGCTTCGCAAGACGAAAATGTCTTGCGAGTCTTGAGATTTTTTTTCGCTCCCCCCCTTTTTCTAAGCCACTAAGCCTTTAATAGCCTTTTAGCAGCTAAGCCGCTAAGCCGCTAAGCCTTTAATAGCTGCTAAACCGCTAATAGCGCTAATCCGCTAAGCCTCTAATAGGGTTGCTTCGCAAGACGAAAAAACCGCTAGACGAAGATACTCGCGGAACGGATTAATTTCGTCTTGCGAGGCACCACTGTATTTTTATTCCATCTCTTCACCAAGGTGCTCTGGGTGACTTTGAAGAGGGCTTCTGAACTTGCCTAAAGCAGCCCGTTCGATCCCATCTGCAGTGCTCAAGAGTTCCTAATAATCACACGCGGAGGCTGTGAACTTTTGAGCAGTGGCAATTTGGGAACGTCAGCTGAAGATTCAGTACCTGGCATTTTCAGCTTAAAGCACCAGGAAGCAGCTGACGGGAAAGAGCTCTTCTGCCTGAGATCTCTAAGGAGACTTCACTGTGCTGAATGGACACATAGTCAGACTTGGTACAAGGTGGCATTGGTCATGTGGGCATCTGGAAGTTTTCTGCAGACTTGGGGATCCATCGTACTTCTGTCTTTCAGGGGCTTCTCACTCCATGTCAACATTCAAATATATCAACACAGAAATCATCTCTTATACCCTGCTGATGGAAACTTGCCCTGGAAAGACTGTTTAACCCCTCGGCCACCACTAGGACCAGGCGAAGTGAAGCAACATCATTTAGACACAAACAAAACGTGATGGAAAATGTTTTATGAACAGTAGAGAGGTGGCTTGGCCAGCCCTACAGCAGCTTGACCCCCAAATACCCCCAGAAGCAGGTCCAAAGCCAGCAGTGCAGCTGTCAGAGGAGCCATCAATA